CCGGCCCGGGGCGTTCAAGGCCGAGCTGTCCAAGCTGGTGATTGTGGCCAAGGCATCCCGCAGTGAGCTGTGACCGGGAGCCCCCGGCAAGGGTGGCTCTTCCCCATCCCCGCCGAGGGAGCTGGGCCCTGGGAGAGCTGGCGTGTTACTGGTCTTCTGGGGGGAGGGGGGGCCACTGTCGGTCGACGTCCTCTGAGCATGGAGCATGGGTCTGGGACCCACTGCCCATCTCTCTTACCGAAAGAGGCACGGACTGAGGCACTCGGTGGAGGACTCCCAGGGGGACTCCCGGCTTTTCTGAAACCAGTGCGCGCCTCCCTGTGGATCCGGCCAGGCGCCAGGTCACTCCCTGGAAGAGCGATCCTGCCGCCCTGCCTCCAAGCCTGCCGCTTTCTTGCAGTTTCCCCGGGGGACCTTCTTCCAGACTACCTGGGAGGAAATGAAGTGTTCTTTCGTATTTAAATAAATAAGACGATTGAAGAGCTACCACCCAGACTTGGCAACGGGCAGTAGGGGCTGCCTGTCTGGGCGCTCCGGGCTGGGGGCCCAGGGACGGGGCAGGGCCCGGGTGCCGGCACGCCCCTGCCTTGCTGGAGACCTGCGTCGGCCCGGGCACCTGCACTCTCCGCGTTGCCCGCAGAAGCGCCGGGCCCACGGCGGCCGAGCGCTCCAGGGTGGTTGGCTCAGCTAATCTCTTGGATGGCGGCATGGCGACTTAAAACACCAGCGGGGACGAACACCCACAGGCAAACACAAATGAAACCCCCAAGTGTCCCAGCCACTCAGAAGGGCCCTGGTCCTCCCAGCAGTGGGCCTGGGACTGTGACCCCCAGCTTGCCCGTCAGCCTGCCCTCTCACGGTGTCCTCTCGTGAGCACACGAGGGGAAGAGAAACCGCGAAACTGGGCTTTGGCCCGCCAGGCTGTGAATCGGATCCTTGCTAATGAGACGCACCTCGTGGGCTGGCCTCCCTCGTGCCGACCTGAGCAACGGGGCGCTGCGGTGACCCCAGTTGCCAGAGAAGAGGCGGGTGTTGGGGCTCCCGCCCAAGAGCGCACACCTACAGGAGGTGGGGTAGGACCGTCACCCCGTCTACACCCGCAGCGGGCACCCGT